TTGGTGGGGACTGGAACGGAGATATTGGGGAAGGCTAATCCCCATGTCTGTGGGCATCTTAAGAATGCTAAGGAGTGGATTTGGGATGATCACTTATGGATGGATGGCCCAGTCTTTGAGTGATAGGACTGGGATGCAGGTGGTGTCAGACCATCGTTGTGACGAAGGTGAATGGGCATGGCCTTAGCATAACAGGCTGATATGTTGGTGGTACCCTAGGGTGTCGGTCATGGGATCGGACACATGGAGCACTTGGACCAAGTGCATAGGTTGAGTGGCGGGGATGCCATTCTCAGGGCTAGTAAGCCCAAGTCCAAAATAGGATTTATGGAGATTGCGAGTGAGACTCCTCCAAGTGGTCGGAGGTGCGGTTAAGTGACTAAAGTAAAATGGAAAAATTAGTCGCTTATAACTTGGTATTGGAGCTGTTCCTCAGTCCGACTTTTATTGGTGCTATGCTCTATTTCGTTAAAGTGGGATTTATTCAGTAAAATGGGACTAGGTACAAATTTTCAAGTATTTGAAAATGACGTGAAATTATATGTTTTTTGTCCAGGGGCTAGACATATCTAGGGCATGGTGACTAGCGCGGTGACTTTGTGTCCAGACTGAGTCCATCTGGTTGTATAATAAATCTCATTGTCAAGGTGAACAAGCCGAATCTGAAGCTAAAGAAGAGCGATGGCATGCGCGCACACACTATTTGTTTGTTCATTGAGCGTGTGGTGAGCTTTCCAAGATGAACGTCATTCCTATTAGCCAGACATATAACTTAATGGTGAGAACATTTAGATATTATTCAATATTATCTTTTTCTAACGAATCTAATTGTGAAGGTGTAGCAAGAGGCATTGCTAGTCTGGAGAAGTCATTTAACTCATTTGACCCTTAGTGTATTTTCATGAAACTAAATAACATTCATATTATTAAGGAATTTCTCTAGGACCTTTTTTTTACGACATAGAGGCTTGCATTTCTTTCAAAGGTGATTTAGTAAAAGGCCTGAGGGCACATGCCATTCTATTTCTCAGACCGGTATTAAGATATACTAGTGCAAAGGGAAAAAGGTATTTGGTGATCAAGTAAATGGCATGAGGGCACACGCCATTATAAGCCTAAGCGCTAGTGGACACCTCCTGTTTGGTACTCTCAGCGGTACTATCATCCTTCTCCGGGTCAGTTGTTTTGCTTTGAATTGTTGTCTCTGACGTTACTGGGGCATTCTCAATAGTTGTTAATGTTGCCGTTTGTTCAGAAAAATGATCACCTGGAGTATAGTACGGGGAGTTTGGAAGACTTATATATTCTACATCTTCACCTATCTCCTTCTCCGTCTCCTTTTCTGCCTCACTTACAGATTTTGTGCTTGCCATGAGAACGCTCTTCACCCTAAAATATGGAGTTCGTTGTGTTATAAAAGGAAACCAACACACACACTGCAAGGGAATGATGGTACATAAAGCATATAAGCCCACAATATGGGTTTATATGCCATTAATATGGGCCACACGCCATATTATTAGATTTATGCACATGTGATTGGTAAATGCATATGTCACATCATCTTTGTTTTACCTCACACACTATATCAGGCCTAATGAACCATATCACATGTGTGCACATGCTATATATATAGAGAAGTATTATGCAAGGATAGAAAAATTCAATGCATGATTGTGGAGAGCAATGGCATGAAGCCACATGCTAAATAACATTTTAGAGAAAGAATTAAAATAGAAACATGCAAACAGTATTGAGTGGACCAAGACTTAGAAGTGCACAATTGAATGAGGTATTTCTAATAAATATTTCACTCACCTCATATAGGAATGGCTACCACTCTCAAATGGCGTATCGCCTCATGCCATCACCTCGCAATTTGTTATAACAATCCGATGAATTCATATTCGGCTTGTTCACCTTGAACTTTAAGTAAGATTTGCTAGAACAACTAAGAATTTATACTTGTTATTTGTATCATCTCACCTAGGAATGGCGTAAGGCCACATGCCATCACGCCTCCTCTGATTCAGATTCGAATTGTTCACCTTGAAATAAAATACATTAGAAACTTAGTAAAGGAATATTAATGAATCTCACCTTGAACCCGGGTTATGAATGCTCTTGCTGCATCTCTTGCATGGTCTGGCAAGGTGATGGTGGCACTCTGCTTCCGCATCCAACCATGCACAACATTATCCACCGATATGCTCATGCTGGGATCCCTTGGATTCAGCACCCATCTCTTTTCTAGGCAATCCTTCGTATATCCGGAACTTGGCTTGAACCACTCCACAGTTACATTGAAGGAGTTAGTTTCCGCATCCTCCTCTGCATCAGTGATGCAGCGCCCCACCCATATCATTTGTTTTTTAATACTGGGTCTGACAAGCACGACCATTCCTTTGTAGACCTGTACTGGATTGAATGCTGAATCCGGCTTCTTGTTCCTCGGCCCACAATAGTGATCCTTAACATCGTTATCTGTCACTGCATTTCCAGAGGACATTGTTCCGCTACTATATAGTGCTCTGGGTTCTGGCCAAAAGGACTCTTCCAATTCTTCATATACAACTGGCCCATTTTGGATAGCAGATATAATCTTCTCCCAATATTCAAGCAAAGGCTTGCACCTCTGAAAATAGGATTCTCCACCAAACACCAACCCCCTCTTCCAGAAGACAATATGCTGTCTAATCCCGGCCACTATACTTTCCTAGTCTTTGAGTCCATCCGGGTGCATCGGCCGTGGGGAACCCTGAGGAATCATAGGTTCCCCAGTTATGGGATCTCTCTTGAAGAGTTCAATGCCGTCCACTGGCAGCCACACTATGTCCCATTCTCTCATCTTGTACCTCATCACTGGAGCACCGTCACGCATGCTGAAATGAAACTGAAGAGGCTTGGAGTGGCCAATCAGCGTTTCGGATCCGTCCCTGATGTAGCCTCTTACAAACCCCTTAAAGTCTGGAACCTTTGTCACAAGTGCAGCTTCAACAGTGCCTTTGATGCAATTTTGGAATTCATCGTAGAGTTGTGGGAGGGTGAGGACATTGGATCGCCGGAGGGACTCTGCCAGGTGACTGAACATGGCATCGACGTCTTCATGAGTGTGCCCAACCATGAGAAAGCCAAGTATAACCGTTTCAAATATGCCTTTGGCAACAAGCATCGCCAAGTACGCGAAGACGTACATGTTTTTGTTCTCACTGCCAGCATTGTCTGTTTGGAGCAGAAGATGGGGTGGAAGGCCACATCGGCCGCAAGAACTTCCTTGAGATTCTGCTTCGTTTGGATGAGGCTGTGCATTCACCGGGCGACCAGCCTCGTCGGAATGGCATGAGGCCTCACGTGATAACCCTACAATCTGACGGTCAACATATTCACTGGGATGGCATGGGGCCCCACGCGATACTGCAAGCCTTTGCTCCTCCTCCAGCTGAACCCTGTATGGGGTTCGATCGACAAGGGCCTTATACAAGGGTTGGCCGTTCAGCTCAGTCTGCGCACTTTGCAGAGACCTTAAGTGTTTTGCTAGGGACGCAATCATCATGTTTGCACCCCCGCCACCCCATAGAGGTACAAAGAAGTTCCCATAGTTCTGGGCACCATGCCCATGAGCGATTATGCCAAACAGAGACACAGGCAGCTGCATGGATGAAGAGATTGCCTTGGGGGCAGGATTGAGTCGAGGTAAGCACGTCTTTTTTTAGTCCATTTTGTCGTGGATGATGCAGAGGTAAGAGTCAGGTCTCTCCATGGAGAGAATCCTGTTATGATAATATGCAATCCTGCAGCTTCTCTGCTCGATGTTGTGGTCGAGCCGCCTTCTAACCAACGTCTCTCGCTCTTGAGCGATGCAAGAATTCTTCGACAAAGCCATTTTGATAGCAATGCACTCGTCACACTTTGAAAAGCAGGAGTACTTTCCTATACTCACATCCCTGAACCTGTTGCTCCACAATCTACTAAATCTAGATTGGCTCAGCTTCCTATAGCCATTATTCTGGAGTTCCCGATTCACATCTTCCAATATGGCAACCTTTGTATACATGGAAGGGAGAACTCGTTGGGTGTCTCGAGTTCCATTTTCCAAGAGGCGGGTTTTATGTGGTTGCTGCTCGCTACATGTCTCGACAAACCTCTTGAAGAAGAAGAAGATACCGACGAATGTCCGCATCTTCACACTCGCCCTTGTTATTGGTCCTGCAGCAGAGTGGGACTGGAGTGACTTCCCAGCTTCGTTCGATAAGGCCGATCGAATTGATCTGAGGGAGGTCAATTTACCCGTGCCTAAGGAACTGAAGACGGCTATGGAGCTTTCGAATCCAGAGAAAGCTCCAAGTGCAGCATGGGAAATGCTCAGCTGGGTCTTCAACGCAATAGCGGGTGGGTCACCTGCTTCCGACTCCAAGGGCAAATGCGTTGTTGAGTACAACTGCAGCGGACTATTCTTTCGAGCTGCACTACTCAAGGGTGTCCCGTGTGTTGCGGTGACAAACTCCATTGAAGAGGTGACTTCAATGGAGCATATAATTACAGTTGCCAAAGAAAAACAGTATCTTCTCTGCGAACCTGGTGAGTACGCACTTTAAGTTTAAATGTTATCTCACAAGCTCTGTATGCAGGAGCATGGCCACCCCCAGATGCTGAAACAGCGTTAACAGCTACTGTTGAAGATACCCATGTTGGGCCGAGCTCACAACCTGCACAAGGTAAGGTCACGTGAGGCCTCACGCCATTTTGATTATAGATCGTTGTGAATATTCAGACACGAGGACTGAAAAGCGCACTGGTGGTGCATCGAAGAAGGACAAACAGACAAGCAATAGGAAAAAAGGAGGTACAAATTATATTTGCAATGGCGTGTGGTCTCATGCCATTCCTTGCAAGAGACACTTCTTCAAAGGCAAAACAGGCAAGCACCAACCAAGTACAACGGACGAGAGGTACCAATCATTTTTGTTATACGTGAATTTTCATGCCATTGCTTCTTGCAGCTCAAATTCCAAAGAGACTAGGGCAAGCAGCGCAAACCTCACGACAAGAACCTGAAGGTTTGATGGCGTGTGGCCCCATGCAATTAACTAATGTTCTTGCAGATCGCGTCGAGGAAATCGAACGGAACAACGTGCCTCCAGTGGAGGAGGGGGAGGCCTCGGAGAGTGATAAGGAGAGTTCCGAAACAGGTACGATCATGACATATGGCCCCATGCACTTATCTAAGTTTGTATTTCAGGGGAACGAGTTGAACCAATGGAAAACTTTATGAAAGGTAACTTAAAAATATAATGGGATGTTGCATGTGTTGATGCAATAATATACAGTTCAAGTGCCAAGGAGACGTCGTGAACCTCAAATTAGGCTACCTGCAAAACAGCTTTCAGACGCTGTAGACAAAGAGATGGACAACCGACCAAGGCAGAGGAGGAAGGGTAAAAGCATTTGTGTGCTTATCGCGTATGTCCTCATGCTATTTCTGTAGAACGGGCGCATAAGAAACGAAAGCGAAAGGGAATTGAGGAGCAGGCACCTGAGGATGCGGAAGGCACGACAGAGCCTCCAAGGACAGGAAGTAAAGCATCATGGTTATTGCGTGGGTCCTCATGCCATTTCTTGCAGATCAAGCTCAAACTGACAGTGGTCATAAAAAGCGAAAGCACGTTGGACAGTCGTCGGGATCAGAGGCGTTTGATTCGAAAAAGAAGAAGGGCAATGAAAAGATGATAGGTAATGCCTCGCGGTTATGGCGTGTGTGCTCATGCCATTCATTGCAGATCAAGGGCTGAGTGAAAGCAGCCAGTCACCACCTCCTGACTCAGATTCCTATGGCTGACTCCCCTTCCCCAATCTCAATGGAGAGGTACAATGGATGAGGGATGCTTTTCAAGTCAGGGCCACGTTTTTCTCATCTCGTCGTCTTCGAAGGGTGCAAGAACGTGCAGAAACCATGTTAAGACAGTCGGGTGAGGATACGGTCCTAGGTCACGCACTAAAACAGGCTATGGATGTCTTGTATTTTGAGAACGAGACTCGGCCAGATGATTTTCCCAAGATGGTCCTGGAAAAACAAGCTATCCAGCCTGAGCAGCCTATGGAAGAAATGCAGGAGGGGGATGAGGAGCCAGAGAAAGATAATGAGCAGGAAGAGCAGAAGGACGAAGAGGAGGACAAAGAAGAGGAGGACGAAGAAGAGGAGGACGAAGAGGACTTGGATGGTCCTCACAATGGTGACGATCACAATAACGACGACAACGATGATGACGACGATGGCCAGCCTGAGGTGGCCAAAGAGCAGCGGAGGAAGGTCATACAAGACAAACCATCAGGTAAATAATAGTACATCCATTCCTAACCTTTTACCATTTCTAACATTGTCCATGTAGGTTGCAGAGCAAATGGTAAGTAGAGATTATTCAGTTGAATTAAGATACAAACTCTAGCCTTTAGTGTCGAGGAAGGATAGTGCCAAGCAAGGGTCGAAACGTATGTCCAATCCTTCAGAATCAGCAGTGCGCCCAAGTGATATCGGTCCTAGTTCCTCAATAGCAGTTGATGGTAAATACAGTATAATCGATTCAATGTGCTAATGAGTTTGTTTTTAGTAGCACGGGAGGATACCATCTCAATCGAAGGGAGATATTTGGACATGCATATGGATCCGCTCCACTTGATGCTGCCCATACCACTGAGTCAATCTTGTCCACGTATCCAACTGACGGTGACCAGGCGCCATTGGACCCGCATGAGGCCGCCCCAGCCGCCGAGCCGGTTGTATCCTCATTTCCAACGAACTCAACGTGTGCCCAATCGTCTGACTACGCGCCGTTGGAACCTCCCTACACCGCCCCTGCTGCCTGTTCGGTCATGTCCACTTTGCCAACGGAGGCACCAGCTGAAATGGCATGTGATCACACGCCATCGGAACCACCCCATGCCATTGTTGAGCCAGTTGTACCAGAGTCTACAGCTGAAATGGCATGTGCCCACACGCCATCGGATGCGATTGACCCCACATTGCAGAGGAGAGTATTTCCGCCCTTCACGTTTCCTCGACTAAAACCCTCTCAACGACCATCGGGAGCACCATTCGCTAATGTTGTAGATGGTAAAATTGACTTGTACCATTTTTTATGCTGACGCATTTCATTTCAGAGTCACGGCGAAGGTACTGTATCATTTTTGATCTGAACGGTGTCCTTTTCTCCCATGAGCGTGGCTCATCCTCGAATGTCACTGCACCCTCCAAAGCCTGCGGTCGCAAGTTGGTCAAAAGAGACAGATTCACATTAATCACACGGGAGAAACTGCGGGATCTAATAATGACCATGCGACACTTAAAACAGAGGGCCGGGTTCAATTTGCAATTGGGAGTTTGGACATCCATGATGCGCCACAATGCATTAACGTTGCTACAGATGATGCACGATCAGACGCAAGTAATATTACCATTTGACTTTCTCCTAATGCAGGAGGATTGCTTGACTATGGTCCATGTGAGGGGTAGCAAGCCCATCTTCGTCAAGCCAGAGGCTGTAGTGATGAACCGGACTGCTAGGTCAAGTGAAATCCTCATCATCGATGACTCGCCGATTAAAACTGCAGCGAACACGCAAACATATGCAGTGCACCCCATCTCTTGCAGTATGGAAACTAGGGAGAAGAAACCGTATGTTCTGGGGGACCTTGCAAAACGGCTGGAGCGATGGTGATAGAGAACCGGCCAATCCAGGAGGTGGCTGCAGAAATCAACCAAATGGCAGATGGAACGATATATCAGAAGCCATTTGATCGGACAGACACCAGTCATCATTTATAGCATGTATATTGTCTAGCCAAGCACTATCCGCATCTCCATAATCTGCTCAACCGGATGGGTTCTTCGACCACTGAACATGAGCGTGGACGTATTAGAGAAGAGATGGCATTACTATTGGGTTTAAATCCTGATAGTGTGGAGAGTGATGAAATTCCAAGATTATTGTATAGGCGTTGGAGGCAAAAAATAACAATCTGAGATGGCATGTATTTATTTAAAAATGTAACTTATTATGGCATGGGGTTCCATGCCATTGTATTAATATTAAAAGACAATTCTTTGAGAGGATTTGCATTATACTAGAAGTGTTACAGCGTGTTACAGCATGTTATTGGAAGTCTACGAAGTTGTTTTATTAATAAGGGGAAAGTAAAGATTGAATGGGGACTTGGACTCCACCTAGACTCGGAGCAACTGAGCCAATATTAAAAGGATGGAAAAAAATTGGACGACGATGACAAGGAGAAGAGAGAGGTGAAGCAGTGGCAGGGGGAGGAGAAGTGATTGAGTAGACATTTCCTTGTTTAAAATAAAATGGCATGTGCCTCAATGCAGTTGAATTTTATTATATTTATATACTATATAAAGGTTTCGAAACCTTATTTTACAAGTGGGATAATGACAATTCCCACTTTAACGAAATAGAGCTTTTGTGGTGGGTATGAAATATGCCATCTTCCAAAATCAGTCCACCACCACGAATATTCCATCAAACCCCTCACTTGAGGGGAGTCCCATAATGAAGTCCATTGTAAGACATTTGCATGGATTGGTATGCTTTATAACAAGCCCCCAGTAGCCTTAGTCACGGCTTCAACTTGCTAACATGTTGAACATGTCTTTACATAGTCTTGGACATCCTTAGCCATGTCTAGCTAGTGATACTTCCTCTTGAATAAGCCCATAGTTTTGGGGTATCCCGCAAGAGGTCCATCATGACACTCTTCTTAGGCTACCTTCCTTAATTCCCCTTCTGGAACATACACCCTCATTTGTATAAAATCGATGAGTCCATTGCGTTCTGCATAACCTATTTTCACTCCTATTAGGAACTCATCTCTTTGGTGAGCTTCCCACTCCTCTTGGTTCCTCAGCAACACTTCTTGTGCTATACCATTGTTGTCATATGCTGTTTACACATCATCCCAAAAGGTTGTTATCGTGTTGGATATCGCCAACTTCAAGCTCACTTTTTGACTTAGAACATCCGCTACGATGTTGCTCTTCCTAGATTTATACAAAATCTTGCAATCAAATTTGGCCAAAGCATTGGCCCACTGACGTTGTTTCTCTCTTAAGTTGGGCTATGACAAGAAGTGTTTTATTACCATATTATCCGTGTAAATTTTGAAGTGCCTCCCAAGGTAGTGTCGCCACTCCTTGAGTGTCTTGACCACCGCAAACAATTCCTTCTCATGGACAAGCCACTTTCGCTGAGCGTTCTCCAACTTCTTCGAGAAGAACGCTACTGGATAGTTGTCTTGTTTCAATACTATGCCCAATCCCAAGTCTGAAGCATCTGTTTCTACCTCAAAGTTCTTACCAAAGTTTGGTAATGCCAACACGAGAGCCTTCCTCAACTTCCCTTTGAGGTGGACAAATGACACCTCATATTTTGTTGTCTATACCATCTTCCCTTTTCCCATTTGGTCCACTAAAGGCAGAGTTACTCTCGAATAGTGTTTGATAAACTTTTGGTAATAGTTGCATAGCCCCAAGAATGCCCTTAACACGTGTACATTTGATGGTTGTTCCCTTTTCTGGATTGCTTAGACCTTTTCAGGGTCCACCTTGAGCCCATCCTTGCCCGCCACATGCTCAAGAAACTTTACCTTTTATTGAGTAAAGTCACATTTACTCTCTTTAGTATACAACTGGTGTTCCTTAGTTTCTCAAACACCTTTGTCAAGTGTTTGGCATGCTCCTCTAGCGTGTCGCTATAGATCAAGATGTCGTTAATGTAAACAACCATGAAATGATCTAAATAGACTACAAAAATGTGGTTCATCAATGCTGATAATGTTGTTGGTGCATTGCATAGCGCAAAAGGCATCACCAGAAACTCAAAGCTTCCGTACCTTGTTCGAGAAGTTGTTTTATTGACATTTTCCTCTGCTACCCTAATCTAGTAGTATCCTGACTTTAGGTTGATCCTTGAGAAGTATTTCGCTTTTCCCAATCTATCGAATAGGTTCTGAATCCTTGGTAAAGGGTATTTGTTTTTCTTTGTATACTTGTTGAACAACCAGTAGTCTACGCGCATATAGATCCATATTTCTTTTTCACAAATAACATTGATGCACCATACAGTGACTTGCTCAACCTAACATACCCTTTTTCCACCAACTGCTCAAGTTAGCATTTGAGCTCCTCGAGTTCCTTTTTGTTCAACCGATAGGGGGCACGAATCACTACCTTAGCACCCTCAACCAACTCGATCTTGTGCCTATCAATCGTTCAGGGGGTAACCTCGCCGGCAACTCTTCCGGCATGGTGTCTTGGAATTGGTCCAACACCTGCTAGATCACTAAAGGCACTTCTTTTGTTCCTGTCTTTTTATTACTCCTTACCGAAAGTAACCACAAAAATGTTGCCTTGGTTCCTTTAGTGAGTTATCCTCTCATAAACACCAGGTTCAAGCAAGAGTCTTTGGCCTTACATTGCCCTACCTTTAGATCCTAGGCCTCCACCCTAGATCGTTCTCCTCGGGCATTAGCCAGTACCACAAGGTTTCTACCTTGTCCATGCAAAGCTACCACAAACTGATTGAATCAATCTATCCCGAAAATTTCATCAAATCCCGCTATATCCAACATGGTGAAATCCATATCTACTTTCTATGTCCCAAATTTAACTCTTGCTTGTCGAAGTACTTCATTGGTGCTTTTGCTACCTTGAACAAACTCTATAGTCCTTGGTTCACTCAGCTGCTGCACCATTAGTCTGGCTTGCTGGACTATATCTACAGCCACAAAATTATCCGAAACACTCGTGTTGTTGGGGGAAGGAGGGGCACCTCCCCCAACACTCACTCAAAGATGAGAAATGCTTCAATGCTCTTCCCAAAAATGCCCCCTTCAGGTTGACCGCCCGCTGCCATAGCTCTTTCAGGTTCTCTTTGCGGACTTGGTACTCTCCAGTAAGTTGGCATATGATGAGTTGCACATCTCCAACAAAACTGACTCGCCTAAACTTGAGATCTGTGGCCAACTTCATGGCACTGATAGCCGCCAAGTACTCTGCTTCATTAGCTGATGTTGCTGGCAAGGTGATAGAGAGGTCAACTACTTTGTTCTCTACAGAATCAATCATCCAAACTCCAATGCCGACAACCTGGTTTTTGGGGTAGAAAGCACCGTCAAAATAAGCTCGTACCCTATAAGCCCCGCCATCAAATAAAGAGGGCGTGGCGAAGGGCTCGGCCTTACTCTCAAATAAAGAGAATGAAGCTGAGAGATGTCTCGAGCTATCTGACTCACCTCCAACCATGTCAATCGCACTGCATGAGAAAGCATCAGTCATATAGATAGTTGATTCGACCGCCAACTCAGGAAAAACCTTTGTGAGCTCAGGAGGAAAGTATGGTGTGGAGGCCATCTTAGTCTGAGCCTGTTGGGCTTGCTAAGAAAGAGCTCTGTCGTGGTTGTTGAGAAAGGTGGCACTGTGGGTTCCATCGCTAATTTCCATCTTGCCTTTTGCGCTGTCAATGGTGCAATGGGCTGTGACTTGCCATGAGCAGCCAAGGATGATAGAGTCCTTCAATGAGGATGTTCTGAGGCATTGGTAGTCAACCATGAGGAAATCCACCTTAGAAATAACACCCTACACAAAGACCTTGACACTATAGCAAATGCTCGCTGGAGGAACAGTGTGGTTGGCAAAGGTCTTGAGCACGATGGAGGAGCTCTCAATGATCTATAGCTGTGCTGAAAGGGCACCTTCAAGAGAGATAATGTTGCTTCCAGAACCAGAGTCAACCAAAGCATCCATCCTAAAAAAGGAAGTACCAATCTCCACTAAGACGAAGAATGGACTAGGATCTCCACCATATCTTGTCATGTCGACAATATGCACCTCTTGAGGAGTCCTCTTGAGAATGCTCTCTAGTGTTCCTGACCGTGCAAACTCCTCTAAACGCTGGCTGAACCCTGGGACAAGAAACAACATGTCTCGGAGCGAAAAGGTGATGGGAGTGTCAACTAGCTGTTGAAGAACCGGCTCCAAAACAGGAATAGCAGTTGGTGAGATCTCAGGAGGAGAAGAGAGTAGTGACTTGAAGGGGAGCTTACAAGCCATCCTCTGTGTCACTAGATCTGGTGCCAACAGAGATTCACTCTCAACCGGCACTGGGGGATTTGTGGCAGGCTGAGCGAGTGTCTTCTTCTTCGCTTGGGCTCGAGTGGTTGTGGTTTGCTGCTGTTGCCTATAGAGTTCCTCGGCTACCAAAATCATTTTGACCGATGAGGCTGGTGCCTTGCCTTTGCTTGACGAAGGGGCCACCTTCATTGCTTGTTGCTCCAACTGCTCCTGATATGTCTCTGAACCCCAAGAGGATGTGGAATTATCAGCGAAGGGATGCTGTTCGACACGTTGAGAAGATGGAGGCCGAAGCTCTAGGTGAAGCCTGAAGCAACGCTATGTGTTGTGCTCGTCTCTTAGTGAGTGCATCAACAGGATTTAAATATGCATTCCCAAGCTGTAGTGGCCTCTTTCCTGGACTCCACCAGCTCCTAGAGCAGTTTGTCATGGTGTGATTGCTACTGAAGAATGATCTCCTTCAGTTGCCGCATCTCGTTGGCAAAGTTCTCAATAACTGAAGGTGTATACTCAATAGCGACGGGTTTTGTTGTGGACGGGTGAATAGTTGCACAAGGTGACTCTAATGGGGTGATGGCTTGGTCGAAATCAACCCTAGCAATCCCCAAGTGGACAACAAACTCTTTTTCTAGCTTCGTGGCAAATGAAAATGCCTCGTGGCAAGACCTGAATGTCTTCTTAAAAAGTTTCCGCTACAAGTTCCCACACAGACCTACTGTGAATGCTGTGATCCCCTATTGCTCATCTTGGACCACTCTACAATCCCAACACTGCTTCTAGTATGCTCGAAACTAGGTGACGTAGTCAACAACAGACTCGTGAGCACCCTGCCAGAACAAAAAGCGGTCGACAAGTAGCCGATTTGTGGGTTTTTCTTCAACGAAGCATTCTCTAAAAGAAGCAAGTAGTGTCTGGAAGTCTGTCTGGTCCTCTGGGAAGAGAGGAACTGCCCAAGTTGTTTCTTTGCCTTCAAGAGACTGGAAGAAGTCGCAGCACATATGATCATCATCGACGATCATGTTTGTGGTGCAATAGTAATCAAAGTGACTAATATGCGATGTTGGAGAGATTGTTCCAACACCTGAGAAGGTCGGCAGATCACTCCCCTTTTGCATAATATGGAGCTGAGGTCGAGCTAAAGGTGGTTGTGCCATAGCTCATAAATCTAAGTCACTGGAATTTGGCGAAGATGAAGAGGACTCGGCCCGAGAAGGTGTTGTGTCGTACCTCAATTGCTTTTGGATGGTAGAAAGTTTACTCCGTACCTTAGGGCCTTGAGGTATGGTAAAAGGGTGCCAATTTGTCGCATGTCTAGTTTGTACCACCATCAAATACCTTGAACATTACAAATGCCCGGTCAAGGCAATTGGCTTGACAGGGGCAAGAAGACTGTAGGTTAGTGCTCAAGTTGCTCAAAGTTGCCCAAAATGCCTGTGATGAAGATAAATAAGGGTCAAAATGGAAGGCAATGTAAGCCTCAAGCACACATAACTATAGATCCGTAGGGTAATTGCCAAAGTAGCCACCGGAGTAGCTACTGGAGTAGCTGCTAGAGTAGCTGGTAACCAATAACTCGTAACTAATAATTGGGGACCTATAATCTATAACCGGTAACCCTTTGCTCTCACTCTTACTCCTACGCCCGCTCCTACTGTCCCTGTTCCTATGCCAACTCCTGTTCCTGTTCCTATGCCTACCTGTTCCTTGAAGATTGCTTCATTCCCAAGGAACTCCCAACAAAGTTTAACCCAAAAGAGAAAAATGAGTCCTCTGGTCTCGATCCTTCTCCATTTTGACTGTTGGTGGGCTCGTTGGAAAGGGCTCAGCCTTGTCTACCCTCTATCGTAGGAATTTTGGAAGAAGCCACCTCAATAGTCCCCAAAATCCACGAAGAGGTAGCCAGAATGCCAACATTGTGGAAAAACATGTGCATGTTTGTGATGTAGATTGATACTAAGGCATTGTTGGTATTTCTGGAAAGCCTAGGACAAGGAGCACCTCTAGAAACAAATGGCATCCAAAATAAAGCCTGGAGGAGCATGAATTCCTGCTATAAAGATGACCCAATCTAGCCAGAGAAGAAAATCCTCTTGCATGCCATCAATTTAGCCAAATTTAGCACCAAAAATCACCACTACTCATAGATATAGGTCAAATCTACAAGCCCAAATGCACTACTTTGAGAAATTGGGCCGAAGATATAGGTGAGAAAGTGAAAACCCCAAACTATTCCTCAAACCAAGCCAAGAAACGTTGTATCTCTTCAAATACCACACGGCTTGATAAGTGCTATACCTTGCTGGAAAAAGGAGCTCCAAACCTATCCAACACGCCCAAGATCAAACAAAACCACCGCAAGACAAACAAGGAATTCCCTCCCAAAGTCTGTGGCCAAAAGAAAAAGAGAGAAATAACGCCTCAGAAAGTGCTGCACGTCACACTAGGTTCACCATTTGTTGGGAGAAGGAGGGGCACCTCCCCCGCCCCCCGTTGCCCTTGTGGGGCAAGGGTTTTATACAAGGAAGATGGGGACTATTCCAAGGACTAGAATATTCCCTCTCTCTCTCACTCTCTCTCTCTCTTAGTGGCCACGCCTTAATAATGTCAATAAAGATAACAAAGCTACCTTCGACCTTCCCTCAGAGGGCTAGTAAATGTCGCAAACGACTCTCTACCAAAATTGCTCATGTAATGAGTAACTTTGAACTAGGGATTGAATCACATCCCTCAATTTAGATTTCACCCAATTTAATGGCTATATTGGCTTTGGCCTTCTTTAGGTATAGACATTCCCTTGTTTGGTTCCGCCTCAATCCCCACCGAAGGGTCCACGCCTTCTATATTACCAGCATCTGAAGTCTTTCATTTCTTCTGCTTCTCATCACTCTTTAGCTTGTGTACGAGAGTCTCTAATAGGGCATTGGTCTGTGCCAATTATCCTTCTAGAATGTCCAGTCGAGCCTTTGATGACTGAACCTCACCACCAGATTCCTATTTGGAAGTTTCCTCACTGGAGTCCTCCTCATGCAAGGATTTCTCATCCATAACTTTTTGTTCGACCGGAAGCTTCAGCTTTGGAGGAGGTTCCATCTCCGCCATGGTTTTATTACACCCTGCTTTTGCCATCTCCCAACAATCCACCTCTATCCTTCGCTAGAACTGAGGAAAAGGTTCTGATACCAAATTGTAAGCCATAAATTTTTCCT